TTAAAAAAAATTACATACTGTAAAAGCAACATCAGTTTATTTCTTGTGGGTTATAACTCGCAACAATTAAAAGCTTAAAAAGGATATTGTAGCTTTCCAGAGTTCATGTACAATCTATAATCTAATCATTTCAAGATTTTACTTGAATCCAGGGATGGGATGACACTAGAGAGGTTCATGAGCAGCACATGGTTGCAGTCTGCAGGGCTATGCTGCAAACAGGTCTTTGCATAGAACTGTATAAACTGTCTTTAGATCGGAGGATTGTTGTCCAAAGCTAGACTCAATCTGAACACCTCGAAACTGCTGAGAACACTTAAGCCACGGTGGATTGCGTCACAGTTACCATAATAAGTGCTATCCAAATAGCGCAGGCAGTAAGAAAAGAGCTAGAACCAGGAAGCAGAGTGCTTCTGGTTCATTTACCGTAATAACTTCTTGATGCTCCTTTCCACTGCTAGAAGCTATATGGTTGCCCACAATTCTTTGGCTGGGAACAGCACATTTCACCAATGCTCATGTACTCATGTGTACTATGCGAATGTATGCTAATAGTGAGCTTTAGCCATTTATTAAATTTGTGTAGCTATGATTTTTTTGTTGTTCTTTTCGTGAGAGCTGTACTCCCAATTTGAACAGTGTAATTTGAGGTATTCGGATCAAGCCCTAGCCTTTTTTGATATACTAGCCTTTGTTGTTGTTGATGTATGGATAGAATATAGATGTATAGTCACATTGCATGCCTGTAGAAATATAGAAGTCCTAGTCCTTGTCAAGATTGCGGTGGGTTCAGTGCCTATCTCCAACGGTCTACGAAAGAGTAGACTGTAGACAGCTTTCCTGACTATCGCACACACTCACGCCTAAGGAGAATTTATAGAAGCCAATTAACCTAACAGTCATATTGGACTGTGGGAGGAAGCTAGAGTACCCGGGGAGAACCCACCCATGAGAGAAAGACCCCAGACCAGTAATCGAACCCAGAACCTTCTTGCTGTAAGGCAACAGTACTACAGGGAATTTTAAATTAGAATTTGCTTTTCTTTTATTTTGGCTCAAAAACCTGCTTAGAGTTGAAGCACACTGCCCCCCCTAAGGGGTGGGTTAAACACATGGGAACAAAAAATCTCCCCACCATGGGACTATAAAGGGGTTTTTGCTTTTCATTTTTTAGAACAACACTGAAGAAATTTTATTCAGGGAACCATGTGCCATTAAAAAATCTAACACAAAT